GTAGTGTCGTGTTTCTCACTGCTGTCCCCGTAACACTCCTCCCCTCCCCGCCTCATCGCCCACGCCTTGATCCTACTGAAAGGTGGCAACCGCAGACGGTTGCACGGTGGGGGGGCGTCACAAGGAACTGGAGTTGAGAAACACTGCCACGGTGTTCAGACAATCTTCCAGCGTGCCAGCCTGGCCACACGGCACGACCCCTTGTCCGTGTATAGTCCATCTTCTTGGTTCTTTCGGTGAAGTCACGTAGAAGGGAAGAAATAAAATAATAAAAATAAAACATAATAAAATTATTCTCACGACGTTTCGGCCACAACGCAAGCAGCCGTCCTCAGGTGGAAAACCAGGTCCGTCGAGGCGACAGAGTCTGAATGAAACAGCACACGAGCTTGGAGCATATATATAAGCTGGGCGCCTTGACAAAGGAATTTGCATATCAAGAGGAATTTAGCATATTTATGGGAAATGCAGGTATGTGATTAGTACTACCTATGCATGTGCATTATGCAGGATTAACAGCATCAAAGGGAGCTGCAGGTACTGCTGCTGCTGCAGTTGCTGCTGCTGCTGCAGTTTCTGCTGCTGCTGCAGTTTCTGCTGCTGCTGCAGTTTCTGCTGCTACTGCAGTTGCTGCTGCTACTGCAGTTGCTGCTGCTGCTGCATGTATAGTCCGTCCGAACATTCGTACCGAACTCGCAATCAGAAATGTTGCGAGTTCACATCCTGCTTCGGTGATTGACTCAGCCCATCGTCCCTTTGGGGGTCAATTAAACGAGTGCCAATTAGTGGGGGAACTCAACGGGGTTGTCCTCTCAGACAAAAAATAATCGGCCCTGGCATAGGAATGTGGAATTTTCACTACTGGTTCAGGGCTGTAAAGAATAGATGAGCACCAACTCAATGCACAGTTGAGAAGGAAACCTCGCAGACTGTTGACTCTTCAACACTCTGCACCGAAGCTGTCAAAGTGTTACGATCTCCACACCTGCAATTGGCTCACCTTTTCAGATTTACCTCGGCTACCTGTGAACTAATGGATTTGAAAAACTACTGTCTTGAGCAGAAACATCATTGGGTTGCGCCGCAGTGGAAATGGCAAACTTTCAACATGTCCGTCAGCAACACTCGGGAACAAATATTTAATAGGCGACATTTGGGGCAATGGACCTTCATTGTTGCAGAGACAGTCTGTCGCTGTCGACATAAATAATTGGCGACGTTTCAAGCAATGTCCCTTCTCCTTCTTCTTCGTTCATACGTCTGATGCAGATGCAGAACAACGGCCACAATTTCACATTCAGGGGGTCAAGACCAGATAACTGCGTCAGGAGACAGCGGAGTGCGACATCGTTGTGATGATGCACTCCTTCGCATTTGTGGATCGGGGCATTGCGTCGTGAAACGTTGTGTACGGTCTGCTCTGGATGAGTTTTTTATTTGCCAGTGCTGTGAAGTTAAGAGTCATTGCCCGATTACCTAATTGTTTCCCCTTTCGGGGAGTGTAATTGATGAATAGTGTTGTAATTTTACCGTTTACAATTTAATCTCTCCCGAGCCAATCATTCGTGAAACAGATTAAAAATAAAAATGTTAATAAAAATGTTCATCTGCTTATGCGTTAACGAGTCTTATTTTCCAACACATTCGCAGTCTCTCCAACCATTCATTTCTTGCTTCGTGGTCTTGCTCTTGATAGAGTCTCCCCGTGGTTGCCTCGAGGCCTCAACTTGCGGGGTCTTGTGTCGTGAAATATGGGGTCGTGACACATTCGAAAAGGCCCCTTCGGGACGCTTGGCCACGCTCGATTATTGGAGTGGGTGGTGATTTTGTTTGGCGTGACGTGCCCTGGCCCGACAGCTTCGTGCGTGGGAATTCGCGTTTACAGAATTCGAGTTCCTCGCCCAAATGCGCTAAGGAGAGCTAATCATAGAAATCCTCATCGTCGTCAATCATCAGCAGCAGCAGCGGCGGCGATGAACTATCCACCGCTGGATGAAATCCTCCCCCCCCGCCAAGCCGTCGTTGTCCGTCACAGCCATGCGACGCGACAATCCATCTCAATGCTTCATTTGAGCGGATTTCTCATTGATCCATCTCCGTGGTAGACTTTATTTGGCACCCACCGCGTCGTTCGTCTCGACCACCGGCCGTCATTACTTCAAGCGACGCGTCCCGCCCAAGGCCACTTACTTTTCTTAACAGTCAATGCGACAACACCTCTAATCCACGTTAATAAAAGAAAATGCATAACCCATCGGCGCTATGGCCCTCTGGTCGTGCACAATTCCAACAGCATCAGTTCAGTTCCGAGTAAACTCTGGACCGCTTTCGACATGCAGTGTCTCACCAGCAGCCAAGCGTGCTGGAATCAATGCTGGCGAGCCGCCAGATGTTCAAGGCAAGGACTCTCTCGTGAAGTGGGAGACAAGAGCAGGTCGTGGTGCTTTTAAAATAATTATCTTATGAAAGGAAATCGGCGTATGAATGTACGTAACGAAGAACAGCTATTTAACGGGAATGGAAACACTTTCCAATTACGCGCGGGCGACGATACCGTGCGCGATTTTCCAGCAAGAGCCTTCCATTGAGCTCAGCCTGCGACTCGCACCTGTCGTGCTACAGGCAGGTGCGAAGGGAAGCGAGGAGGAAGAAAGGGACACTGGGAAATTTGCGAAATGAAAGAACGCGGAAAGTCCATCATTGCGGAAGAGAGAATCTTATCGGAAAGGTTAAGGGAAAAAAGGTGGGGGCGGGGGCGGCGGGGGGGGGGGGGGCCGCGTGTTTCGTTTAATCAAGAGCCGAGGCCTAAAACATATTGAAAAGTCAAACGAGAGGTGGCCACAGCTCTCGTGAGACAACTCTGTGCGAATTCACGCTTTAGTCATCAATCAAGAAAAGGGTGCCTTAAAGCTGCGTGGTTTCACACAAACATAATGGTCCCCATATAACCTCACAGAAAAAAAACATTTTGGGGGGGCACGTGCCGCAACCTTTTTTGAGGCCTGCACGGCGCTTGAAGGGTGCGATGTGGCCGGCGTCCCAGGCCCGGCCGCCTTTTTCTCCGATGTCGACGCGGCGTGCCGGGCGCTCATTTAATTTTCATCTGACAAGAGAAACTCGTTGCACCGGAGGACCCAATTCAATCACGGAAGGGCCGAGACTCAGAATTGAACCCCGTCTCTTGGCGGTACCCGCCCGCCGAGTCAACCTAAGGGATCCCGAGGTATAATTGCCGCTGACGTTAGCCGTTGGCAGGATACGAACTCGGGTCGCCGGGTTCATCACGCAGCCCGTCAACCGATGCGGTGCCATCTCCCTCTTTGCAGTGGTGGATGCGAGAAAATTGGTATGGTATTGATATTTACCACAGAAAAAAAATATTTATTTCTTTGTAAGAACTGCCCACCACCGTAAGATGTTTCTTGGCCCCGGCTCTGCCCTATTGTGTGTGTGTGGCTTCACGCACAGACACACACAAGCGCCAGATCCCGAACACAGACCGCGACAAAAAACCTCGTAGCTGAGATTCCACCGTTTGTTTCATGATTGTCGTTGTTATGATAGACACGCCAAAACGCTCGCAGGTGCGACAATCGCACGCGACGTTTTTGGCGGGCCAGCGCACGGAAAATTATATCTGCGCGGCAGCGGTTCTGAATTTTTCTTGACAAAAGCCGTCTTGGCACGGGGTCTGCTCCGCTGATGTCTACCTTAAAGCTTGCCAGCTCCCCCTCCTAAGAGCCTCCATCCAAGATGTCATCACGTTGTGTTGACAGCGCGAGCCGTAATGGGTGGGTGGGGTGGAGATGGTCGTGAGAGCCATAGCTAGGTGGGTACAATCAGCAGTAGTAATTGGATTTAAAGCTTTCGTGACTGCAAACTCACAGACTCAGAGACCCATAGACTCACACAGAGACCCAAACACTAACACAGAAACCCATAGACTCGGAGATCCATAGACTCACACAGAGACTCATAGCACTGGCTTCCAGTAAGATTTCGCATTCAGTATAAGTTAGCCATGCTGGTCTATAAAGCACTGCTCGGTCTTGGCCCAATATACCTCGGGGCCCTGACTGATCTCCCACACGACCGGAGTTTATGCTCTACGCTCTTTAGAGCAGCACCTGCTACGGCTACTCTCCCAGCCTCGGCTCTTTGCTCGCCACTGGGTAGGGGTCGGGCATTCTGAAGCGTCGCCCCAAGGATATGGAATACCTAGCCAGCGGTGATCCGGCACGCTGGAAGGCCTCGGTGTCTTTCGGAGGAAGTGCAAGATTCACTGTTTTCTCATGGCTTTCACTGGAATGTTCTTTAAGTTTGTCTTTGCATTTTATTTAGCGTACAACGTTTTGATACCCCCTTGAGCGGAGGTGATATTACATTTAAAATAAATACGGTTCCGGGTAAATACAGTTACATAGACTCAGAGACCCACAGACTCACACAGATACGCATAGACTCACGGAAATAATTATAGACTAGCACAGAGACGCATGGAATCAGAGACCCACAGACTCACAAAGAGACTCATAGACTGACATAGAGACCTATAGAATCACACAGAGACCTTTAGACTCACACAGATACGCATAGACTCACGGAGAGACCCATAGACTAGCACAGAGACGCATGGAATCAGAGACCCACAGACTCACAAAGAGACTCATAGACTGACATAGAGACCCATAGAATCACACAGAGACCCATATAATCACACAGAGACCTTTAGACTCACACAGATACGCATAGACTCACGAAGAGACCCATATACTAGCACAGAGACGCATGGAATCAGAGACCCACAGACTCACAAAGAGACTCATAGACTGACATAGAGACCCATAGAATCACACAGAGACCCATATAATCACACAGAGACCTTTAGACTCACACAGATACGCATAGACTCACGGAGAGACCCATAGACTAGCAATGGTGGGGGTGCCCATTCGATGAAGCCCCACATGCTCATGGTACCAGCGCGGTGCGGTTTGTACCTGTACCACGTGTGCGCTGTGCGTGTTGCTGGTGAACACGCGTGTGCCCCCGGCTGGCTTGCAGTTTGACACCGCCAGTGCTGCCCGAGGACAGGGCTCTCCTTCCATGGGCAGGGCTCTCATGGCAGCCTTGCCCTCATCGCCCATGTACCTACACACGCAGGGGGGTGGGGTGGCAGGGGGGGTACATGCAGCAAGGGCACCAACGTTTACATAAGTGTAAAGAAAGAGAACGATCGGTTTAACACGTAGGCTTTCGCGACCAATATCATCCATGATACGAGTATTTTTTTTGGGTTAGATCACGTAAGTATATGGAAGTGTCGTTAAACCCGCTACCACCCGACACAGCCAATTAGTAAGGTTTGTCACGTAAACAGAACGTGCCAATTCGTCATTAGTACAGCAACACCGGCTGTGTGTTGGAGTGCATTGCAAATGTTGCGGCTATGGCCACGTTACCTGACAAACCTTACTAGTTGGCTGTGTCGGGTGGTGGCGGGTTTAACGACACATTTATATATTTACGCGATCTAACCCCCCCAAAAAAGATGTGTATTATGAAAGAGAAAGATGTCCCCCCCCCCCCCGTGTAGACGACGTAGACTTTTGGCACAAGTGCCGTTGGCGAGTGCACGTGTTAACGGCGGCGTGGCACGCGAAGGGGGTGGTGTGGCCGGGCCCCTTTGTCTTTCCAATGCTGATGGAGTGGTGGGGGGGGGGGTTGGAGTTCCCTCCCACAACACACCATACCGGGTCCGGTGTGTAAACCGATGTTCAAAACACTAACACGTCCCGTGGAGCCTACGTGCAGTGTTGGCATACACATTATACACAAAGCGCTTGCCACAAATGAACCACAATTCCTTGCTTACCTCGAGGACCATAAACCATCATCACGCGAACTCCACTCATCCTCTCAGCGGCTTTTGGCTACCCATCGAACAAAGGCGGTGGTCACCGCAGCGCTTTTGCGGCCGTCTGGAACGCGCTTTCCTCCGATATTAGGAAGCCGCTGCAGCTAAGCACTTTTAAATGATCTAGATTAAAAAGTGATTATATAAAAGTGATTTTTGCGTGTGTTTAGTTTGCTATCCTCCCCCGCACCTCCGATCAGCACAGTTGGCTGCTTGCGGTGCGAAAGAAGTTCAACGCACGTGCGTACAAAAGTCCTGTTAGCGAGCACCCATCAAGGCCAGCACGGCGAACGTAGCAGGTGGTGTGATTGGCATCACACACACGTGCGTCTTCATTCCCCAGTGGTGCATGTTTACGCGTCGTGTGAGGTCCTCGTTTAGAGGCTGAGCCGACGTAGAGAAGGCACAGGACTGGACGATGAAGCCGGAGCAGGCGGCCGTCCCCCTTCTGGCCTTGTGGTCGCAATCGGCCCTCTCTGGATCCATCATATCGCCGGTGACTCTGCTCCGACCGTCACTGAGACTCGGCGTGAGGTCGTGCACAGAGGTCAACGCGGACCATCAACGTAGCACCCCTCGGCTGTCCAAGTTAAATGGTTTTAGCCACGGCCGGGAATTTGGCTTGCAGCGCAGTGCGCTAACCACTGACGCTAACCTCTTACCGTATACATACACACGCAGCAAACATTGCCACCCGTCGTTCGCCACTTAAGTGGCCGTGATGTTACCACGGCGCTTGTTGCCAGACGTTGGGGCCACGTGAAATGTCGAAGGCTCGGTGGCAGGATGTCACGGGAAAGACTCAGGTAACTATGACTGACTGAAATGACGGGCAGATGCATCAGCTGTGCTCCCCACTCTGACAACTCGCCCAACGCTCGGCTCGTTGTTGTGAGCGTCGCTCACCCCCCCCCCCCCCTCACTCCGTTTTTGTTGGAGGGAAACCACCTTTCAATAGCCAGCAGAGGTCAATCTTGACTCTGCTGGTACTGGTCATCAGCAAGTCCTGTCAGCTCCAAATCTTTCCAGACCACATCAACCCATCACCTCTGTAGCCCATGTCACACACAACGTAACCCCATTCAATATGGCCAAACAGAAGCTTCTTGGTAACCAACAGTGTCTGGGCACGCGGGCTTTGTGACCCAGCCAATGCAGCCTAAGCCTGCCGGCCAAGGACCGAGCGATGGGACCGTGTCCAGATCTTTGCAGCATCTGGGGTGAGCTCAAGCAATCCAGACTGGTTAAACCCAGGGTGGATCTGAGACAGCCCAACCTGTACGGTTCAACCCGGCTTAAGCACACACACACACACATGGTGGGGGTGGGTGGATGTTGTGGGCTCAGTGAGGGTTTATTTAAGTCGCTCTCGGGAGGAGCAGCCGGTAGACATTAACGCAAATCGCACTGGTGGACGCGACGCTTAGACGTGCCGGTAACAAGTAACATTGGGACCGGGCAATCGGCATCTCTCCCAGGTCACGTGGTTGAGTTTTCAAGGTCACCTGAGGAGCGTTGCGGTGGGGGAAGTATGGCTCTCCTGATGGGAACATCACGCTGTCGTCGTCGTGAAGATAAAATTCCCTGAATTTGTATCACGTGGTCCTTTTCAAACTCGTTATTAGGCGTTTAGCTGTTTAACAAAGTGCACTTCCTAGCGGCGTAATAAAAAAGTTGTCTCCATCGAGACGTTCAAGCTGTTAACGATCATAACACAATAATAATAATACAGCGCTGCGTATGAATAAATGTGACTGAACGACGATCAACTTTAAGCAACATGCGAGTCACAACGTAATGGCTTTAATCTACACGAGAAGTGAGTAGCAGCCATAAAAATAACGCGATAATTGGCGAATTAACAGCGACGGTGCAAGTGTGCACCGTTTGAGAGCAATGCGATGCACGTTAAATTGAAATGAGGCAGCAGCCCTGAATAAGTTTCCAAACGGCATAGACATTACGGTGTTCCTACTCAACGGGATATAAATTGCTGTGAGTCTCAACGATATATTATTCGGAAGTTCATTAAAATTAAAAAGAACTCACGCAACGTAACCTCAACAGACGCAAAGCCGGCAACAACTTTAAACATGTTTCACATTAACAACGCTGGAACACATCATCCCTTTCAAATTTGTCTTCATTGCACATTTTCAAAGCTGATTGGATTGACCCAGTTGCGGACAAAGTCACCAAGTTCCGTCAAGCATATGTAGATGTAAAAATATATAACCACGGTGTGTTCCTTGCCTACACCATCGCCATGAACCCACAGAGTGTCATCACCCCGTCCTCAACCCACTCATATTCACCAGATTTGCTACCAAATGACATTTGTTTAAATCTAGGATTGAAGCTTTCGTGACTGCAGGAATTACTATACTCTTTAGATTTGAAGCTTTCGTGACTGCAAGGATTCATATTCTTGGGTTTTTTCGGTAAAGTCACGTAGGTACTTGATACAGCAAGCATGCTGTGACGGTTCCACCTGAAGACGGAAACTTGTGTTGCCTCCGAAACGTCGTGATTTTTATTTTATTTTTATTTTATTTTACTTTTATTAATTTTAATTAAATTTTTTTACCTACGTGACTTTACCGAAAAAACCCAAGAATATTACTATACTCATTGGTTCTTTCGGTAAAAGTCACGTATGTAGAAATGTCGTGATCTATTTAAAATATTACTTTATTTCTACACACGTGACTTGTGTTCTGTTCTTCCCGTTTGCCGCGAATGAAACGCGCACCCTGAATTTAGGAAAGAGGTTTCTGGATGTCGCTCCAGCCATCATCCAGGAACCCAGCTGGGGAACCTGAAATCCGTCCTCCCGGGAGAGAAGAAGTACCAGAGACGCCTGGACACGTGGCAGGGCCGCTGGGATGACTCTTGTGTTCGATCAGGAGATACATTTGATGAGTAATGACGTCCTTTTAGTTGCGTCTAAATAAAAGTAGTCCCTGTACTCTTGGATCAAACCTCGTATATATAATAAATACTCGCCTATAGCTCGTCCAAGGACGGGTGTATTGCAGTAAATCTGACATTGAAGAGAAAAGCAGGCAGTAAACTAATATTCAGTGCATCCATTGGTGTGCCATTTGTTATGACCGGTAACACAGATCTTGTTTTATTTCACGCTGATATCCCATGTTCATCATTGCGCCCTGATTCATTCTACGTCTCAACAAGGGTTACAGGGTTCGCGTGGCGTGAGGGTTCTGGATTTTTAATGAGGGATAAGTTCTCGGTGAAGAGGCCCTCACCCATGTGGAGTGACGTCAACCGCTCACGATTATTAATGACAGCGTTACGGAGTGAGCGTGACATCGACGCTCTGGCTTTTCATATATTAATGATTTCTTTATTGGCTTTACTTTCCGTAAAGAAAGGAAGCTAATTTTTATAAACAAATTTTCGTTTCCGCTCCACCTCCTTCATGCGGAGTGACATCACCCGTTCATGATTATTAATGAGGGGGGCTGTTCGACGTGGAGTGACGTCACGCGCGTTACACACAGACATTCTTGGCTCATATTCGTGATAATCGTTCTACATTCGAACGTAGATGTTGGAGCATAGGAAGTGCAGTGCAACAATAGATTTTGCTGCACAGCCCCGTAGCCACCCTTATTACCGACTGGTGCACGTCACTCACTCGTCTAAGCACCGTACAGGCCCAGGCCTGATAATTGGTTTTTTACCCTTCTATCTGGCAACAAAACTGACACTTTTTTTACAAGGGGTCATGTTTGCATAGACCACAATACCTGCAGTCATAATGTAAACAAAAAAACATAACTCTGATAATGTGCACTGTCCTTGAAGTTGATTGGTCCACACCCGAGACAGCTTTCCTTAGAGCCTAGTCTCACATGGGTTGGCCCAGGCCTGCTTAGCTTCAGGAATCTGATGAGATGGACACATACTGTGTGATGTAGCCATAGGCAAGTGCTGAAATAAGTCGAATAAAAACATCCTTCCGTCAGCTCTATCGTCCAAGTGGAATTGCTCTATCACCGTCATCGTCGGCATTTGCTCAATCCACTGCTGGATGAAGGCCCTCCCCCAATCCGCCCCGCCACCTGCTCACGAACAGACCTCATTGTTCCATCGCCACGGCGGATGCCACTCCTCACCGTCGATCAGCGTTCCCATCTCGCCGTGACGTCGTCCCTGCCCATGCCCCCCACTCACTTTGCGTCACGGTCTGAATTATGTCATTCTCCGC